ATTCTGGTAATATGTCAATACCCGATGATGAATATTATAATTACATAAATAAAAAAATAGATGAAACATTTAAGGTGGATAATTTGTTAGAGTGGTGGGCGGCTCATCAAAGCGAATTTAATATTTTAGCAAAATTGACAAAACGGATAATGGCAATTCCTGCTTCAAGTGCAAGCTGTGAGCGGAATTTTTCTTACTACTGGGAGAATTCTTGAAGAAAGAAGAAGTAATCTTCAACCTGAAAAGATAGATATGCTTCTCTATCTTCATGATAATTTGTGAATTTTTAATATCTTTCTTGAGTATAGGGTTTCGTCAATCATGCTGGTTTTTTACTTTGCAAACTGTCAAATATTTATTGCATTTATTATATTTTACCTTGAGTCTTGAAAGTTTTTAATCCAACATTTTTCATTATTTTTTTTACGATATTATATAATACAATTATCTTCTTTTGTTAAAAATTTATATTATAAAATAAATTATATTAATATTGTGCAATTAGATTATATTTTCAAAATACTATTTATTATATATGCATTTTTTTAAATAGCGATTTATTTTTATTTTATAAATTAAATAGTAAATTAAATACAATATAATATATTCTCAAAATATTTTCCATTTTTATAAATTAAATATTAGTTTTATTTTTTTTAAATGCAATATAAAATATAGTATTTGCTCAAAAATTACCATTTTTATGAATATTAGTTTTATTTTTATAAATGCAATATAAAATATAGTATATGCTCAAAATATCCATTTTTATAAATAACAGTTTTATAATTTTTATAAATTATAATAATCTCAAAATATTAGCTTTTTACATGTATTTTTTAAATAATAAGCGATAAAACTCGCTGAAAAATATGGTAAAATACCTCATAGGTGAATTTATGTATATACCAGGTCGAATATAATTTTAAAAAATTCCGAGCCGGGCCTGAAATTTTTAAATCTGAGCCGGGCCGGGCCGTAAAAAATTTTTTTAAAAAATATCCGGGCCGGGCCTTAAATTTTATAATCCGGGCCTGGCCGGGCCGTAAAAATTTTTTTAAAAAATATCCGGGCCGGGCCTAATAAATTTAAAACCTGGCCGGACCTGGCCGTGCAAATGGTGCCTCTGCAGGTCTCTGATAATTAATTTAAAATTTTGATGAAATGTACAGATGCACATTGTATGCTTTCCAGACCTGCCTGCTAAAATACAGTTTTTTGATCTCATGATAGCAAACTTGCTGAAACCTATCTTTATATTACTGTTTATTTCTTTAAAATTGGTAAATAATTCTGTTATATTACACAAAACTAATCTCTTCTGTACTTGGTTCCTTTTTCCATTAACTTTCATTGATATAAAATTATTCATACCTGGCATAAGTCTGCTGCTATCGTCAGAATTATAAAATTCTATTACTTTATTTGCAATGTCATCCGGAATTATTCTACTTGGTTTTATGATATTTGGGTTTGACAAAACACCCTTTTCTTCAACTAATTGTTTAGCTGTCCGGGCCATAAAATTTGTGGTTGAAAATTCCTTTTCAATTTTATCAAGAGTCCAAGATTTTGGTAAAACTATTTTGGTAAAACTGTTAAAATTTGTATTTTTTCATTGCGAGAACTTGTAGCAAATTTTTCTTTCAGTTGATTTATGATTTCGTCTTAATCTAAAACTTTTTTAATTTTTCCCTGAATTTTCAAAAATTTATTTACAGGATATATTTCATTTAACCTTTCTTTTTAATAGGTGTCGTGTCTCCTCTAAAAATGGCAAAGTTTCATTTAAAGTTGAAATTGAAGTATTAAAATCTGTATAAGAGTCGGGATAATTGATGGTTGATCAGGTTCAGAATCGCTAAATGTTTCATTAATAGTTGAGGTAGAAGTTAAGTTAGAAATAGAAGGTAATGTGATCGGGATCGTAGAAGTAAAAGGTGAGATCAGATTTGTTGAATATTTTTTTAATTTTTTCCAGCAAGAGCTACAAATTATTTGATTAATTGATAAGCTAGAATTCACTTCTATCATCCATTGTAAAACATTTCTAAGATCGTATCGTACTGAATGAGATTTTATACTAAAGGGATTACAGCACTTTACTGGAATAGAAATAACTTTTCTAGACATTTAAATTTTTTTGGTAAGGAATAAAAGATAGCTATATATTTTATATAATTATTTTAAATTAAAAATAAATTGGATAATGAATACCGATAATTTAATTTTCTTAGAAAAATGGCTTTATAAAATTAATCGATAAAAATGACGGCTGTTGCTGTTGGAATTGAATTTGATTTTTATGATAATTATTTTATTTGATAATTAATTATAAGTAGAAAATAATTTTTATGAAAATATATTTCTGACGATCACAAAGATAATTTTTTATCCGGCAAAGAAAATTATCTACATAATTCACTCATAGAATTGTCAGGTTAAAAATCTCGAATTTAAGAAGGAATTTTTTTTTTTGGGGGGGGGGGGGGGCGAATATAAATCTTAAGATGGGGTTCGGATTTCAGTTTTAATACTATTATATTCACAATATCACTTTTGTTAAAAAATTAATTACTCATTTCGTATAATATAGAATTTAAGCCATACTATTTTTATTTAAAGCGTAATAACTATTGGCCCAGTAATGGTCCCAATCTAGGATTTTGTACAAATATTAAGATATACAATGTCTATTTGTTAAAAAATTTTGAAAGAAAAAAAAGGGCAATTTTTATTTTATAACCATTTCCGGTTTTTGGTAATAAAATTATTTTTAATATAATAAATTTTATATCATATTAAAGGGCTATTCTAGAGTTATTTAATAAAGTTTAAATCATACCTTTAGCTTAATTACTTTTTGAGATATTTAAAATTAAATATGGTGTATTTTGAACTTTTCGCGTTTCTAAAGATGGCCATGTCTCATGAAGTAAGCTGAATTGAGAATTAAAATTCTATATTATTGCTAGTTAGTGTATATACTACCATCATGCACATTTTAAAAAAAATCGAAGAGGGTCGGGTTGAATCTTCAGTTGATTAGATATGGAATACAACATAATAGCTAATATTTTGATATTTTTAGCTAATTTTTTCAAAATGGCTTGGGGGAGGGGGCTCTTCAAATTTTTCAGAGGTCTCAAATACCCTGTGCCCCCCATCGTGAAGCTACTTAATCCACATTTACAAAGTGTAGACATATTGCCATTAATTTCTTTACTTGTTAAAAAATGTTCCACACTGGGGTCAGGGCAGGGCTAAATCATCATCTGAAGAACTAAGTACTATTGACATATATTCCTTATATGATAAATTATAATATTAGAGCTTATAAATTAAGATAACTGAATTCAATATTAATTACATTAGCAATTTTGACTTTATAAAATTCAACAAAAAATGCAATAAATAAAAATTAAGAACTTTGATGGTCGATACAAATTACTCAACATAAAATTTAAAAAATGATATATAATAAAATAAAACATATTTTTCTCTTATTTTTTAATAAAAAATTTTTAACGAATAACGTCTTGCATTACCGTTACACAAAAAAAACTTGCCTTTTAAAATAAATAACGAATGTAATTTTTTAAAACTAGATATAAGTAATCTCTATCAGGCCGTTTTCAAGCCTGGCCCGAATTTTTTTAAAATTCGTCTCTATAGCCCAATCCGAAATAGGAAAAATTATTTGTAGGCCCACTGGCTCGAATATATTTAAATATAGAAAAATTTAATATTTTTAATTGTAAAAAAATATTATACAAATGGAAAATATTGGCGCCTTGTTTTTTTTGCAGGAATTTTAAAATATATCCATTCATTCCATAAAATTTAGTGATATCATATTTAAACAATTTAAGCCCGATCTGGCGTAATTTTTTTTCAGCTCGAACCCGCAGGTGTTTATTTTTTAAGGCCGATTCATCTCGAAGCCCGGGTGCAAGCCGGGCCCGGGATTTGCAAATCTTTACTAGACTTAATTTTCATTATTATTTTTTTAAACGTGTTTAATTATTTATTTTTTCATGGGTTCGGAATTCTTGATATTTTAAATCATTTACTGAGGGCCAGAATGTGCACAGTACACAGGAGAATTTCAGATAATTGTTCTCTAAAATTTTAGATTTAACATAAATTTTTCCATATTTTTCAAATAAATGAAAAGTAAGCAAATGTTTACGGCAAAATTGTCTGAAATTCACAATATTAGCACTCTCCACATGCTGGTATATTTTCGATCAGATTAAATGGGTCAAATAACTCGCCCTCAGAAAATTATTTAAAATCTCTATGAATTTTATATTCTAATTCGACATATATTTTAATAAAGTATTAAATCATAGTTAAAATTCAAACATAGCCTTATTTTATTTAATATTCAAAATCAAATTTGTTTGTAATTAAAATAAGTTTTTTCCCATTATATAATTAGCGATCGATTTATTTTCACATCCTACAAATTGATATTGAATTATATAATTTGTTATATTGGCCACAGGTCACAAATTGATATAATATATACTATTTAAACCATTGAGGAAATTATTTTATACATTTTTAATTTTTTCCCACAATTTTTTAATTTTTTTTAAAATGAGTCTATCAAAATTGGTTTGCCTAGTAATATTCTTTTTAATAACACTCGCTTCCACTCATGTCAAAAGAGGTAAATATTTAAAATAAATAACTTTTATAAGATTATAATTAAAATACAAATTTTTTGATCTATCTTTAAACTTTACATTTTGAGATTGTTTGGGACAACGAAGGTATAAACTCATTTGAAAAAAAAACTATTAGAAATAAACGTTGTAAGGTCTATAACACATTTTTAATGATTTTGAATTTTTTACTAGATTAGTATTTCGATTTAAAATTTTTTTTTGAGATTATTTTATTATAGAATTGGGATTTTATAATCATAGCTTGTTATATGAAGTAGATATATTAGCTATAGTTCATGGAATATTTAAAGTTATTTAAAAATAATGATTTTAGGTTGCTTCAAAGAATGCTCTGTAAAGTGTGATGATGGATATTCCTTTGCTTCTCGTGAACATTACCAAAAGTTTCTTCAACCCTTAATCTTAGCAGCCGCCACAACCAGACGTCCAGTGGTAACTACTCGACCCACAACTAGACCTCCTCCAGTAACTACTCGAGCTCCCGTAACAACTAGACCACCTGTCACAACTACTAGACCACCTGTCACAACTACCCGACCCCTAATAACTACAACAAAGCCTGCAGTCATAACTACTAGACCGCCTACAATAAGTTGGACTTGGCCAATCTGGACGCTTCCACCTTTTGAACCTGAAACCACTACAACTCAAGAAACTGAAGCAACGGAGGAACCTAATGATGATTAAGAAAATTTATTGAAATTTTATATTACTTATAGAATTTGTTTTTAAAATATACTTTGTATAGCTGTACTCTTTTTTAGATATGATAATATTTTTTAAATTGTATTATTTTTAGAGATTATATTTATTTTTAATAAAAATAACTGACATATCATCCTTTTGTAATAAATTAATCCCCCCCCCATTATTTGTGGGTAGTATCTTTTATTTTGAGATTCATTCGAGAAAAAATAATAGCAAGAAAATTGAAACCAAAATTAGCAAAAAAAGAAAATGCAAACTAAAAAATGGGTAATGTTAGTTACTGCCAAAGACAGTGTTTAACGAATAGGTATTGCATTTTCTTTTGATTGCCACTCACATATGATAATATATATTAAAATCGTCATTTTCAAATGTGATCTAGTCAGTGAATGCACCGTGTTTACTTTTCTGAAGCTATTTGGGCGGATATGTGCTACGGGGTATGATTTATAGTAGATCGGGGATCGCATGATTCCATCAGTCAATTTATATTAAAAATGGATCTTATTGCATTTTAAAACTTTTGGTCGTTACTTAGCAAGTTAAATTATTGTTCTAACATTACCCTAAAAAATTGCAAAATCAATTTTAAAAAAATTTGTTTCGGACCCTTTCATTACCAAAATGTGCTTCTAAAATACGCCACCTATAAGGCTTATTTTAATAAAATCTATACAATTGTTTTAAAGCTTAACTTTGCTTTATAATAAATATAATATTATGCCTCGATTTTCTCGTATCAGGTCACGCGAATCCTTTATCATGAAACACTTTTTCGCTAATGTCGTTTATCGTGAAGGAGTTTTATAGATAAGGTATTAGTAATTAGCCAATATTTTTCAGAGCTCTTCTCGCGTATGGTTATAAGTATGGAGGGGATATTTGGTTCAGGTTTTTACCACAATAAATTGAACCCCCCTCCCATCCAACATAAATTTTTAAAATATTTTTCATCAAGATAAAAAATACTAAAGGTAAGAATTTATATTCATTTTCTCAGATATTTTTAAAAATCATAAGATTTTGAAAATTATTATAGAAAAGAGGAAAGTGATGTTGCACTTAACCACGTGGTATATGTAGGAAAGGTTTAACTATAAACTAACAATAGCACCTGCTATCGTAAATGGGTTCGCAATATGTGCAATGATGTAAAGGGAAGCCTGCAGAAAGGCTATGGCCTGACAGAGGTGGCGAGAATAAGATAGGTTATTCTGAATTTAGAGTGATGTCTTCAATTTTAACTGATAAAAATGTCTCTCTAGTTTTGGAAAAGTTTATGCAAGCTGTATGAGAAGTTGTTTGATGTACGTCAGCGAGACACGGGAAATTAAGGCGACTCATGATGCTCATTTTCTTATTTTCGACAATAAATTATTTTACTTGCCGAGATAAATTTAGTTATTTGAAATTAAAAAACAAAACAAAATCATTCACTATCTTAACCTTGTCACGTACAAACCCTCATTTATACTATGGTGCGGCTTCGTAACATCCCCTAAAATAAATTTTTATAATCCGTTCCTTATGTCACCTAATGGAGCGCCACTGTTGGGGGGGGGGGTATTTTAGATTTTATATAAATAGTCAAATTGCCACCGGGTTCCAACATAACACTGGTGCCCCACTTAAAAGCAATAATCTAAGACCAAGAAGAGGCTACAGTCACTTACCTCGAGCGTTTTCATTCACCGTTATTATAATAACATAAATTTGTTATCCTTATTTCCATCGTCGTCTGGACACATACTATATTCAAAACTAAAATTGTCGTTTGCCCCAAGACCTATGACCGAACTATAAATGAGCGATTTAAAAACGATCTCAACACCCAATAAGAATAATAAGGGATTGGCGATAAACACCGCTATCGACCAAGAAGGGACAAAGGATTTTGAGGATTAGGATGACCTATTAAAATTTATTGAAATTAATGTTAGTGCAGAATTTTTTTTATTGTTTATCTTAGATGAAATAAACAAAATAATATTACCCAGGCATATCAGGTATGCCTGCCACACTCCTTATGCAATATAAAACTCAAGGAATCATGGAAGGATTCATTATGGAGTGATGAGAAACTGTAAAAAATTATGGAATGCTTGTGAAAGGCTCAAATCTTCTGAAAAGATAAGAGATAACAGGTGGTAATCAGCTAAAAATTCCTTGCATAATCAGGGGGAATAGCCTTTATGATAGGATGACTTCATTTTTAAAATATAAAGCATATTTAAATTTATTATTTTAAAAATATTGTTGTCCCATTTTTAAAGAATCGGATATTGTTTATATTAAGAAATATTGTAAGGTTATAAGCCCTGTAACAATTGCATTAGACAAACTACAAGGGCAGAGTAGTAAATATACTATTTGTGGTTAAAATGAGCTTAGGTAAACTTAAAAACTCAACTTTGCAATATTGTCAAAAGCTGTTATGGGCAAAAAATTTGGTAATTTTCTTTCCTATAATGATGAATTTAATGAAGCTTTTTTGGCATCGTTATCACATCCATATTATAAGAATGAATTGAGTCGGATGATAAAAACAAATACTTTCAAAATTATTATAAGAAATAAACAAATCGAACGAAACGAGACTGGTTAAAAAATAAAATTTTCTTTTATCGATTAAATTCATAGAATAAATAAATAAAAACTACACAAAAATAAGATCACAAATAATAAAGTATCGCGTGTATAAAAATTTTAACTCGCACTCTAGGAAGATTATCAGATATATCGTTGTGAAAATTTATGCCGTTAAGTTAAAACTATAGTATCGACGACCCAATAGTAATCATATTCGCATTGAGGTTTTTAAATAAAATTTACAATAAGAATAATTCATTCTCTTTACACACTCGGTTTCCTCTCGCTCGAATCAACTTTTACGGACATTCGTGGCCTGGTACATTTTCGTTCCTAGAATAACTAATCTCGACTTTTAAACGCGGTCGAAGTCAGTCTAACAGTGCCCACTAATCAATGACCCAAAAAATATTTTGGCTGGAAGCATCTTATTAAGATATACTCCAAGTTACGATATGTTGTAAACACTTCTAGTAAGCATATAATCGCGACTTTATTATATACCCGAGATTCGTAACAAAGTAAATTCAACGTCAAGATGCATCGTTCTATCTGTAGTTTTAAAATTTTATATTTTTGAAAAAAACAGAGACCCACTAAAAAAGAAAGATAAAAAAATTTTTTTGCGAGAATTTGAGACCAATTTATATTTTTTTTTTGGAATTTTTTATATATTTCATTTCGAAGCGTTTCATATAAGATACATTATATAACATATTAAGAAAATATATATTTTTTAAAAATAAATAAAAAATGAAGCTTTTACGAAGTATAAAAGGATACACACTTTATCTTTTTTTATCATCAAATGTGAATGTTTTATTACAAATTTTGACACAAAGAATTCAATGCGTTTCGAATATCCATTTTTTTTAAATATAAATATATTCCTTATCAAGTTACATTATATCTATACCAATAGTTTTTCAAATTTTGTCAAGAATTTTAAAAGCTAACAATATATTAATTTCGTCATTATCATTTTGAATACTCTGGTTTAACCATTTTTTTATGGCCCCTGTTTCGTCCAAAAAATTTAAGGATATGATTGACGATTTAGAATCCATATTGCTAAATACTTTGTCATAAATATGAAGGATAGATCTCTTGATAAATTTTTCGGACGAATCATGATAGGTTTCGAAAATTTCGAATATAGCTTTTAAAGCAAAATGGATACCCTGTGTAATCAAAAAAAAAATTTGTAAAAAAACAACCAATATTGTTAATTAAAAAAATAAATTTTACCGATTGGTTGTAAAAAATGAGAGCTATATCGCATATAAAATTTAAAAAGGTCCCGAGGATGAGAGAATTACCCTTGGAATCGGTCCTACAATTCTTTTCCGATTTATATTTATCCTTGATCTTATAATATTCGTAGAGCCATGGGTAGAGAAATATTTCGAGTGAAGATAATTCAATATCTCTATTTATTTTCTAAAAAAAAAAATTTTTTAATACGATTTAATAATGACGCTTCTCGAAGGATTGGAAATTTAAAACTAGTAAAAAAAAAGCGGAAGGTAAAGTAATTTATTTTATAAACGATCTACAAAATTTTTAAAACAGGGGTGGGGGGGTGTGAGGTGACAGAAGCAAGATAAACTCTGTCGTTCATAATATTTCAATTTTATCATTATAATTATCGTTTAAACAAATAGTTTAGTGCTAAGTGCTATGCTACGTAATATAATTCCTAATGGTTATGTATCAAAAAAACCTAAATTTTATCACAATATTAATAATTTTTTTAAAAAAGTAGATATATATTTATTTTAGCCCATAATCAAATAATAGTTAACAATCATAAATTCAAAAAAAAAATGTTTTGCAAATTATACATTCTCTTCATTCCCCTTAAGGCATCAACCAGCTAACCCAAACTGACACAAAAAATATTAATAAATCTCAACAACTTCCTTTTTATTCCAATAATCACTTCACTAGGCCATTTTTTCGCCATTAACCTATAAGTTTTTTAAAAAATCTCTGCACAAAATTCAGCATTTTAACAATGAAGCCAAAGAATTTTTAAATATTCGTCATAAAAATTCAAATAGATATTTTTAGATATAACTATGATTCTTTTTTAGGAAATTATGAAAAAATTTTTTTTTTTTATATTTATGATTGATAAAAGATGATATTTATTATAAAACCAAATATGTCAAATAATAAATTATTGATATTTGATTTTATTAAACGAAGAGAATAATTTATTATTAATATGAATTAGTGTTGTTAAATGCCTCGATTTGAGCCGATTTTAAAAAAATGCCAACTCAATATTTTATCCGGAAAAATATTAAGCCTTTTGCTTCACAGATGGCACAAAGGTTTGAACATCTATTAGCGAAATCTTGAGGCTTAGGAAATATTTATCTGGCTAAAATATTGAGTAGCTGTTTTTAAAAAAATCGACTTAAAATCGAGCCGTTTAACAACACTAGCTATGAATAGTAAAATATATTATTCCTATTCGATCAACATAATTACGAATAGCAAATAATTCAATTGGTTAAAAAGAATAGAAAACATATAATAATAAATTTTTTTGGTATCGATATTGAGTTTATTGGTCAGGAAGGTCACCTCTGACTGAATATTTAAAAAAATAATAAATAGTTAGCGGTTCAATGTGAGAATTTGTTTGTTTTTTTAAAAAAATGAATACTTACGCATTCAAATAACGATTCTAAATATATAGAGGAAATGTTTATATCGTGTTCGTTAGAAAAATTTGATAAATCTTCGAAAAAGGTGATTCCATAAATAGTTTGATAATGACGTCCTAAACTTTTGTTGAAATGCGAGGCCACCAATGAAATGATCTATGAAATTAAATTCGTAAAATGATTAGAACCCCGACTAAAAAAATTTTGGAATTTGAGTTTAAATATTTAAGGAAAATTTAAAAATTATGTGTATTAATTAATTCACATATTGCAACCTTAAATAATAGTATTAACTTCCTATAAAAAGACTATTATCACTTGTCATAAAGTATTGTTAATTTTGGAAATGGGAATTACGTCAATTAATAAGTGAAATGTGTTAGATGAAAAAGGACATGCGATTCCATTAATATTTCGATGAAACAAAATTATTAAATTTTCGGGCTTCGGGTCGGACCCGAGAAAATCGGACAACCAGTGCAGGGCTCTAAAAATGATTGATATGGGAATTGAATAATCTAAAAAGGTTTATTGAATTTCTAACCTTAATTTATTAATTTAAAAACAATGGCTGCAATGTTTCAACAATAAAAAAATGTTAAACCCTGCTCTGTAGTTAGAGACCCTAAAGAAGGATATACTCAACTTTTACAACCGATGAGGGCTTTCATCCAATTGACTTTAACAGTCACTTTTGGGTATTCATTTCATAACTTGCAATTATACGAATTTAAAGGCTTGTATTAAATTACGCTACGATTAATGAACAAAATAAAGATATTATACTTATATTATCGCTACAAAAAAAAGTAAAATAATTTAATATAAATATAAAATTCACTAATTACTAAACTAATAGAATTTCCAATTTTTGCGTGAAATTATAGGTTGTTGATGGGTAAGCAAAAAATTTTTTTGAAAGAATATCGTTCATTTCCTTTGATTTAAGCGTTATAATCATGAATAATATCCTAAAACGAAGTTGTTTCTCCCCTTTCCCGTGAGTTTTTAGGTAAAATATGAGTTCAAAAATATATTGATAATGTTGTTCAAAATCTATGGGCCCTAGCGATATGACCTTAAGCAAGTTTTGCAAGAGTAGTATTTTGGATGTGGAATTGTTCAAGGATCTATTGCCGTAAATACTAATTTTTGCATTTATTTTGTCATCATCGGACATGGTTAAATGTTGAATAATTTCGTCCAAACATGGTATTTGATTATTCTTATTTTATTAACATTAGGGGTATTTTTATTGTAAAAAAAATTAATATTACCCGATTATCATCAAAATTAAAGTTTAAGCAGGGTAATGGTAGATTTTGTTTTTGGCAAATTTCATTAATATAATTATTATCATTATCTTTGATAGTTTGATCAGAGCATGGAATTGATAATCTATACAAATAACGAGAGATATATTCAAATAAAATAAATTTTTTTTATCTATAAAAATATTACCATTTTTAAAAATTTTAATATTTCATCATTTAATTTCTTTACATAAATAGAAATTTTTCTTCCTATTCATTTAAAAAGTGTGATAAATTTTTTTTCTTCTCTTAAATTGCATTTTTTTTTTCATCTGTTGAAATTTTCTCATATCGTTAATAAGGTGAAAAATTTCACGATTAATTTAGATAGATACCTTAAAAACTTCCTATTTGAGGTAATTAACATTTTTAGTATATCAATAGTATATTATAAATGACCTATAAAATAATTGAGTACATATTTATTGAAAAATTTAGAATATTATACTAAAAAATTACACATCTCTACAAACTTAATATTACTAAAGATTTACACTGATTTCAATAAGATATTCAGGTTTAAAGTCATTTTATATAATTCTTGATTTTAAATTACGGTATTGAATGATTTGCAATTAAATATAATATGCAAAATAGAAGCCTATAATTACAGAAATCATTCCGGATATTAGGGCTGTCCCAATATTTAAGGCTTCCAAAAAATATCGGATCGGGCCGATATTTTTTTTATCGTTTTGCGTTATTTTATGATTTTCTATATAATCATATAATTTTTTCTATTTAATAATTTCATAATAATAAATTAATTTTTATCGTTTTGCGTTATTTTATGATTTTCTATATAATCATATAATTTTTTCTATTTAATAATTTCATAATAATAAATTAATGAAAAGAACTAAAATATAGTTTATATTTGTTGTAAATGGCTAAAAATAGTTAATAATTTTACATTTTTTGTTATTATTATCTGCAACAAGAAAAGGATTTTAAAATAGTTAACGAGTCATATTCAGCTGTTTTGCTAAACGGCTAGATTTAGCTAATTTTAAAACGATTAACTCAAGGTTTTGACCTTATTGATTTCGCCCACAGATGGCAGAAAGGTTTAGACTTCTATTGGCGAAATTTCGAGATTTGAGCAATAATATTTTGGCGAAAATCTTGATTTAGCCTTTTTTAAAAATCAGCTAAATGGAACTGTTTAAGCACCATATTCACCCCATAAACATTTGCAAATATTATAAATGAGATTAGTAACTTTTGGAGAATAAAAAATGACAAAATAAACATAATCATTCGTGAAAGTTAATTGGTTTTTTGCAAAATATAAAATATTGAAAAATCAATATAAACATCGGATCGGTATCGGATCCGTTTTTAGCAATATCGGAAATTATCAGATTGGTGAAAAATTTGTGAATCGGCACAGCCCTAATTGAATATAAATTTAAGAGAATTCAAAGATTAAAAAAATTTTTTATAATCAATTATTTAATTAGACGCTAGTAATGTGCGCAAGAGAATTTTGATATAAAAAAAAGTAAAATCGAAAAGGGTCTTTCGTGTACCCTAAAATAACAAAATTATTAAGAACCACCCTATTTGTCACAGCTAGTGTTTCGACTATAGTGTCTAGCCTAAAACGATCACCTCAGCCTCTTTGAAAATATAGCTCCACTTTGAGGAAAGTAAAATTAATTGATCTCATTCCTCGATGCTTAGTGGGTTTTATTCGGCACCTGAAGAAGGATATTACCAATAATATTAAATTTTGACTAAAAAAAATTCGAATGGTTGTTCTTAAATACCAGCTGTTTCGCGACTGTTTCCGAGCAATTATATTTAATTCAAACTTTTCTAAACCTAAATAAAAAATTTGCAGCTAACATATAATTTCTCTTAAATTTATTTATCATGTAAAGACTGAAAAAAATATTTAAAGATGCAATTTGTGAAATCATGGATGATGTTAGTAGCAAATCTTTCCGTCCTAGACGTCGAGATTGAATCGAAAAAAAACGTGGTTCTGGTACATATAAGTTAAGAAATATGTCGACTTTTGATATACCAAATAAATAATAGGTTTATCAAATTAGCACAATTCTAAATAAAATACATCGCGTAGCGGAGGGTTAAAAGATGAGAGCTACTAGCAACGCTAACTGATCATTATATCTAATGTGAAAAAAATTATAAATCTCGTTACTTTTGTGTATCGTGGTATTCTTTAGCTGCAGGTTCACTAATATGTGCTATAGATAATAGTTCAGTAAAACGGGATTCGAAGTCGTGATCCAGCATATCCTCAAACTCAAATTTCGCGGTCATCATTTTGCTAGCGAGGTATTTTATAATGACGCACCCCAATTTACGATCCATTTCAAAAGGACTATCTAAATGGCGCAAGATCCCATCCAATAATCTGAATAATTAGTTATTTTTATTTATTTCGTGCTTTTTATAAAGGTGAATTGCAATAGTTTTTCCTCGAGGAAGAGGGGGGTGGAGCATCAGGGAGAAATATATTTCGATCGGATTCAAATTTCATATTTCAATCGCTTTTCGTCATTATTAAAGCAAAATATAAATAATTAATGAGTAAATTAGTTAAATTATTAATAATTTATGTAATTATTAAAAATAATTAAGGTATAATAACGCTTAATTTATGTAATATTTTTATATTTTTTTAAATTACAATTCACTCTAAGGGCTCGCCTTGATAAATGTTTTCATTCACGCGATAAAATGCTTATTTTTGGGAGGCTTTAAGGCTTGAACTTTTGGTAAATTTTTTAAAATAAACATGGGATTTTATGTGATAGAAATTTTACTTATGCATTCCCCTCAAAAATCAAAAATAAGCCTAGTATGTGAATAAAACGTTTATCAAAACCAAAAAAGGCTATTTTGTTAGATGGGAAATTTGGGAGGGGAGGGGGTAACCTCCAAATATCCTGGTAGTTATTGCACTGAAAGTAGTCAGAGAAAGTGACGTCAGGATTCACTGTTAAGGTATATCTAATAAATATACTGAATTGCTCAGCAGGCAAAACATCCTGACAAATTTTTTATTTCTGTTTAATTTTTCCCAAGTGGTTTAAATTTCTTACCTAATTTAATACCATGTATAAAAAATTAATTCAAGGGTGCTCAAATTAGGGATCTGCAAAAGTAGGCCCAGCCCGAACATTTTTTAATAAAATTGGAGCCGGATTGGGTCTTAGAAATTTTTTAAAATATATCTAAATTAATCAGTATTATGTTGAATTTTTTAATAAAATAAAAATATGTGATTTTATTTATAGAAAGTAGACGCCATATAACATATATCGTTTATTTTGAGTAATTATAAAAAATAATTTCGGGGCGCGCCAACAAAATTTTTTAAAAAAAATTGGGGCCGGGATTGAAAAATTAGGCCCGATTCAGATCACTAGCTCAAATTTGTAAAATTATTAGTGTTGCTGAGCTAACCATTGTACCTCCTTTCTAAGACTAACGCCAAATACCTCAAAAAAATAATTAAATTATCCTAATTTTTTTTAAAAATGGATATAATTTCATAATTCAATCATAGGCGCCATATATTATTTTTTACTTTGGTACAATGATATCTGCAAACTTTATTTGATATTGAGGTGTCATATAAATGCCGACTGTAATCATAAATTTGGATAAATGGATATGTCTTGCTTGAGAAATGTTATTAAATTCACTCCACTCATCACATAATTTTTCAACAACTTTATATAAATAAGAATATACTTTTAAATATTTTTACAAGCCAAGCAATTGAATAATTTTTTAAAAAATTAACACATTATTGGCTAAACTGGACAACTTGATTGAATTTTCTTTAATAAAACTTAAAAAATTTGGGTTAGGCCAAAATCTTTTCAAAAAATTTTAACTAGCCAGTTTGGGCTGTTTCCTCTAGTTTCTAAAGTATTTATATATGATACATTTTTCTAATCTACACTTAAATGTCATGGTAACAAAAATGAGATATTTGAAGTAATAAATTTATCGATATTCATATTATAGTGAAGTAATTTACTAAGCAATGACTAATTTCCCCTATTTTTATAACTTTCTTATCCAAACCTTTTACATGCCAAAATTTTGTTAAATTTTTTAATATTTAACCCTTCCTTTTTTAAAAAGAAAAAATTGAGTGTCAATCGGTCAACCCCAGGTTAAGCTCTTCAACCAAGATCTCTAACCACAGTTGCCATCCACATCAGAGACCTGCAGGCTCAGCTCTAAGCCAAGGTCGTATTTTATTATTTTTTAAATATACCTGGGTCAGGCCTAAAATTTTATAATAAAAAAATACTGCCATATATTTTAAAGCCAAATATTATAAATCCTTAAAAAAAATCAGCTGGGGCATGCTAATGGTACTTCTGCAGGTCTCTGCATAGTATAATAAAGCTTTTTGTATACAATAATTTCAAGAAAAGTAACATAACATGCATGTGTACAACTCTATTTTTTACAGGCCAAAAACCTTTTTGAAAAATTTCACTGGCCAGGTTTATGCCAACCTGTAATATTAACTCAATCCTGACAAAAAACCTAAACACAGGATGCTATGGATTAGTCTAGCCTCTTACTAGATCATGGAAAATAATTTTTATTAAATTGTCAAAAATACCCCCCCCCCTTTGAGCATTTTTCCCGAGGAATTATTTATGTTTACCCCTTTTAATTAATATTACAATATGACCCTTTAAAAGTATACATAAAAAATTGAGTATTTAAAATATAATTCATATTCATGCGAGATTTGGAATCCACCAAATTTATCATCATTTAATATATTTTTTTACTGAAGATTGGCATGCAGAAAAAATTAATAACGTTCTCCAAAATTCTCCTTTTCTAATCCTCATCCTAGCTTGACTATAATTATAAAGCATTCATTTGTCCAAGCATGCCAAATTAATTTAGAATTTTTTAGTCCAATAAAATAGTTTTATAAATTTTATGTTCAATTTATGCAAGTAAAAAATTTATCAAAAATAAACATATTTTGCTCCCTTTAATGTATAATTTTTGAAAAATATATCTTAATGTATTAGAAACATATTTTTATCCTCCCTATTTAGTGATGTAAAATCCCTACATTTGAGCTAATTTTTAAAAACGTCTAACTCAGTATTTCATCCTGAAAAATATTAGGCACACCTGAAGATTTTGCTCATATATGGCACTAAGGTTTGGAGTTGGACCCTTATTAGTGAAATCTCGGGGCTTAGGCTACATTTCTCTGAAGAAAATATTGAGTTAACCATTTTTAAAAATTGACAAATTCCTGTAAGATTAACATATTTATTTAATTTTAAATGGTTTACCATTGCAGATATAATTGTTTTCCATATTAAAAATATAACTAACTAAATTATGGTAGATTATATTATTCAAAAATATTTTTTGACATATATATTTGTTAATAAATTGCATCAAAATATATTTTTTAAAGAGACAACTATTGGTAGAAATTTCATATTCATAAATCCTATAAAAATTTGTAAAAATATATCATAAGGATAAATATACTTCTGGTCCATAGAAAAAGAGTGTAAAATTACTAATTCTATTATAGATTTTTTGGAATATTTTAACAAATGGTGCCAAAAATTTAAAATATTTTCATTATTAATATTATTAACTAACATGATTATTAATATGTTATTTAAATCAGTAGATAGAAGTAATAATCTTTCCACCATATTCCTATAGTTATCTAAAATATATATAAGCTTTGATTCACATTTCTTTATTGATTCAATAATTTTGCCAAAAAAAAATTCAATAAATTTTTCATAATCCCAAAAACTATCACAAGTATTTATATTATGAGGTAATGCAATTATTTCAGAATATAACTGATTCCGATAAAAACTATCATCAAGATTTTCAGTAAATAATTCATCAGTTAAATCTTCAAAATAGTTCTTCAATATATTGATCTTTATTTCACTATATAAATATCAGAAATCATAACTAGTGCATAAAGGATACTTTATTTTAAAATTTTGTATAAAAAATAACAATGAATATGTCTTGGGATAAACGTTTAGATATTTGGTTATTATATCTTCAAAATTGTCTGAGAAATTTTCAATGTTATTAAAAATCCGTAGGCCTAGATCACGTAGAATTGATGGGTCTGAAATTCTTTTCATACTTATATCCTCTATGATTTTTAATATATTAGATTCATCTTGAGTATCGTCAGGTTTCATTAGTGAATTGAATTATCAATTTTAAAATAAAACTAAAAATTTTAGAAAAATTAATTGACAGTTGTCTAATAGAACATTTGAATTAAATTGACATTATGAACCCAGGGTAAAAGATTAAAGATTAGGGATCAGGTCAGTCAGGGGGACATTAATAAACAGCCAGCCAGCTGTTTAGCAGGCTATAATATTGACTAAAAGCCTAAAAAGTAAAAGAAAGGAAAAACGAGAATGAAATAGAATACAATTCCAATAAATATTTAATATAAACCATAATATAGTGTTAGTTCAAAAGTTATTTAGTCCTAGCTAAAAAGCAATTATCAAATTAAATAGAACTAAGACACTACCTGGGTGCTTATAATTTTTGAAAATCAAATAGAACGAGTGAATTTCGCAAAGTGGGAATTGCCTGATTTAATAGATGGGTGGGATTCTATGGATTCAATATATGATGCCAATTTTATCTTTATCATAAATTATTCAAAATTTAATCCATTTAAAAATAAACTGTCAATTTTCATTCATGCTAATACTATAACTAAAAGGATATTTCAGAAATATGATTAAATACGATCTTCATAAAATTTGTCTTTTATGGCTCTGGTAGTTAAATAAGAATGAGTTGTGGGGGATTATTTAATCATATCCTGAAATAAATAATTTAAACATCGTCTGATTTTAGATATTTTAATAAAATTGATAAATAATTAAAATATAATTCATCGTGGCATGCAGGTAAGAAGAATGTATTTATGGAAGTCAGTTTCTAAATTATTTGCAGCTAATTACTCAATTGTTTCTTTATTCCTTGATCTATAATTTTCATATTTGAACAAACATCACGAACCTCTAATTCCAAGAAAATTATGAATGGGATTTTGAGATAGTGCTTAACATACTTGAAAATTCTTATCCAGGGTTTAACATTTGCTCAAAATTCAAAAATCTCAACTTGCCCTATAGAAGATTAAAAAAACGGTTTTTTTGTAAAAATAAAATTTCAGCATCAAATAAAATCTTCAAATTCTCGTTTGAAGATTTTTGTTAAACCCTGTTCTTACCTTACAACAAAATCGAATGATTAACCGAAGTCTATATTCCCACTATAACTATTGCAGATTATAAAGATGTTACTCATTTATCAGGAGCCCTATTATAGCAGGAAGAAAGAATTGTTAATGTATCTACAAATGTACCAATCATATTCATAATTTTTATTTTTTTAGTTTTAAGAAGATGATTAAATTAAAATACTATAAAAACACTATAAAAATTAAAAATTATATAATTAAAAATATAATTGAGTTCACAATGAGAAACCATATTTATGTCTAAAAATTTCTATTTAAATTTTTGACACATATATAAAAATCCTCAGGCTTCGTTTGTAAAAGGCCGTATTTTATTGCCTAGATTTTTTTAAAATTATGAGTTAATGGCAGATAATGGCTATTATATGAAGTTGTTAAATTTTTTATATTTGTTAATCTTTTTAGTTACTACCTGTATTAGTAATAAAGAGAAGCATGTGTAGTCCCATATTAGTAATTTTCCAAGGGCCCAAGGTGTGGTTTTCATACCAACCTGTCTTAAGCTATCTACTTTGTGGGCTCAAGATGATTTGGAATGTGCGAGGAAAACTTAATTTATTACATGGTTTATTGCTATGTGGCGTTGGTGTCGCCCTTGCGCACAATCTAAACCAATCGCTCTCAGTTGTTCGTCTGACAAGTGATTACCAAGGTAACAACTGTAGAGTGATTCTAACTATTCATGATCACGAGGCCAGTCAGCTAATTGAAATAGTTGAATGCAATCTGGTGGATTGGCTGATTGATATATAGGTTTGTTTTTTGTGTTAATTGATGGCACATGATTGTTAATGGGTATATTAGCCTCCATCTGTTAATTTTATCATCTAATAAACGAATGAAGCCCGAAGTCATAGAATTGTTTTTGATTCTAGATGAGCAAAATGATGATAAGAATAAAGATTGAGTGGCAAGAGTCCAAACCGCCTAATTTAAAAGTTAACTGGGCGAGTGACTAATTTAGGTTATTGTGCTTAAAATTTTTTGCTATAAATATTTTAAATTTATCCTGAATTTTTGATATGAATTTGTTGTTTTTAAAAAAGATGATGATTGGAAAATGGGCAAGCTTATTAAAAATAAACTTTGGTGTGCAGGTAGATGGCATTGTGCTCAATGCTGTATTTTTAAAAATGTTATGAAGGAAATTTTCCTTGGTAGCATCAGCTAATGGGGATACTAATAGGGCTAAACTATCTGGAGCAATGATTTTATAGCCATCCAAACTTGGGGGCTTATTGTTTAAAAACATAATTAGGTTTAAATAGAAGATTCAATTTGATAATCAAGAAAGATGGGAAAATTCATTAATTTGGACTTCAACAGCTTATCCTTTTTAAATATTGATGGAGTTTGGTTCAGAAAGAAGAATATTGCAAGAATAGATACAATTATAAAATTGAAGAGAAAAAAATAAGAGACTCATACCAAATCGATATACCTAACTGTTATATTTGCTAGTTTTTATTTCATTTTTTATATATTTAAATAATTACTATGTAATTTGAATAGGATTTATGTTGTTAAATAATTATTTTATATTTGAATATTGTGTTAATGGAATTTTCGATTATTATAGTAATTTAATATTTTGTTATATTTGAATATTTAAGTTGTTTGATTATATTATTATATCATGAACTTTGATTTACTTTTAATTTTTGAATATTAAAAAATATATATAAATACGCAAACGATTATAAAATTATAATTAGCTTTTTTTTGATAATTTTTGTGCAATCGAAAATCCCTTTTAATAAAGTAGTAAGAATTGTTGTAGAATTAATTAATTGTAATAGTTATTTTTTATATAAGTTATGCAAATTATTTAAAGTTTCATTTTTATTTATAGATTTAAATCTCTGTATTTTGCCTTGGAACTTTTATCTAGTTTACTTTAAACCATTCAATAAATATATTACGATAACTAAGATGGTAACACTAACTAGGATGGAATGTTCATTTTATCATAATTCCGTCCACTTTTCTGACCGGCCCATTTAATGACTTAGAAATTTTCTGATATATTAAATGAATGCATAATAGTAATTACCAGCATATGTTAATAATGATGTTATCTATTTTGACCGAAACGTACGAAATACGATCAAAGGAGGCCTTCCCCCAAAATCGTATGCAACCATTTTTTCATAGAAAAATGGAAACCGAAATAATATGGACAAATCTTAAAAGTCTTTAAGGAATTATTTTCATTTATGCCTTTTATTATAAATTTTTTTATACCTGAAATATAATAATCAATCAAATATTTAATTAAAATTATTTTGATGAAAATTACACTTTTTTAAGTTACTTTAGACTGTTAAATCAAATTTATTATTGTCAATATTAGTTAAATTGTAATCTGTTAACCTGTTTAAATAATGCATTTTGAAATTTTTGCCTTATTAAAGATGGCCTTATTAGGAGGTAGGTCGATTTGAGAAATAAAATTTAATAATTTGGGTTAATATTTATACCATCGTTATATAAATTTTTTTAAATTGAAGGGGGTCGAGTTGAGACTCGAGTAAGTTTAAAGTACAATATATTTTTTATTTAAGTAATTAATTTTACAGACTTTTCAGGCACTTTAATCAACCAGGCTCTGAGTCAACTTTTGTTAAGTGAAATATTTATCTTCAGAATCTAACAATTAATAATAATGGACCAAATTTGTCAAATAAGATGTCTGATAACAGTTGAATCTATTTTTAAATTTTGGGTTATTATTATGGGATATAGTCAGGGACGTCTGAGAAGGTGGCTGCAAGCGGAAAGCTCCTGTCTTATTTTAATGTTACTCGTGTATATTATCTTTAAGGATTTATTAGCTAAATGAAAGGTTTGCTGTCTTCTGGACAATTATATTTAAAAGATCAGTTAAATATTTTAGTTATTCGAAATTAATTTTAAGTGCATCATTCGAAATACGATTCTGCGAAAATTTAAAAAGACCATGGAATTTATTATCTAAATTGCGGCTCCATCGAATATTAAAAATGCAAAATTTATCTATTTTTTTTAACTCTCAGGAATAGTTAAATATATGGTTAAAATGTGGTAATAGAGATAAAATAAACATCACGAATCTGCTAATTTTAATAATACAAGCTACTAGAAGGTACAATAGGTTTAAAATAAATCAAACCGAAATTATTAATAGCCTTATTAGTATACTTATTACCAAATAATAGAGAGAAACTTTGGCACAATTAAAAGAGTCAAAAAATATGGTTGACTTGACTATCTATGATGTAAAATATTCATCGCAATCGAGACAAAGACAAATTTTGTTCAGTATTTCGATATTTTTACAAATTAAAAAAAATTGAAACTTAATTATATTTTAGCCTATAATTATATTTTATTTTTAGAAGGACAATGATTCTCATTGCAAAGTTTTATTCATAATGCAGTAGCGGAAAAATTTTTTCGAAGTAATCCCAATAATGTCAGTCCCCCTTATACATTAAAAATATACAATTTTACCCATAAAAAGTGCTTATTGCATTGTCTTCTGAATTACTCTTTATTTTTTAGGTCGGCCACAAACTGAGCAAAATGACTAAATTTGTAACATATCATTTTGCAAATCAATGCAAACAGTCTTGAACTTATTCTTAGATAGGCTTAACATAATATATTGTTTTATAGCAGCAATCAATTTTTTGACACACTAAACTATTTAGCCTACCTCTTCATGTAATAGGTAAAAATTAATAATGATTGCGCGATGTGATGTAATGAATTACATCGCTATAAATGATAAATTTTACCTACCTTTGAAAAATGACTAGCAATATGTGCTTACTATAAATGAGACCTTACCTGCATTCATAGTTAGTGCGAATTTGAGGCGAAGTATATAAAATATATAAATATAATTTTACATTTATTTTTGTTAACTTAGCCGCGAATTAGACCTTACTGTGAATGCAAGTTTAGTTTTATTCATTATATTACAATAAATAAAATAACTTGTAGTTTAATATAATCAATATATAAAAATGACCTATAAGCTAATTTAAAAAAATAAGGATTTTTTTATTTATGACGAATAATATGTTCTGTCGAGGAGTCCGTGAAATCAAAATAATTTAAATTGAGCCGTAGAGCGATTTGAGTGGCAAAAATTTTAAGAGCTTTTAAATTACAAGATGCCTTACACAGGTAAATAGGTTTTATTCTATGTCCTCCTATTTTTATGACGTAATATAATTTTGAACTAAATTTTGTATGTTCCAACCGTATGTAAACTTCATTTAATGCCCCCTGATAAATTATATTATTGCAACGAATATAGGTATATGTTAACGTTCTTAAATCGACGACTAACTTTTTACTCTGTAACTTAGCGTAAAAGAGGTATAAAAGTCCTAAAAAGACTATTACCATTAGTGTAGCGAAATCATGCCATATAGTCAAATTTATTATTTGTGATATAAAATAAAATCCAGAAATTAAAAAGATTAGAATGAATGCGAAGTAGTACCAATCGCGCAATTTCACTTTATCGTCCAGGATAAAAGAATTAGAATTTTCGACTTTGTTGAAAGGGTAATAAGGATTTTGTAAGAAGTTATCTCTTAAATCTTGTATAGTAGATTTTGTAAAATGAATTTCCCAACTGTTAAATATTCCTACAATTCTCATGACTTAATTATTAAATTTTATCATTATCTATAACCATTACATTTATATAAAAAAAATTATTACATTTAAGCTTACATCATATTATATATATTTTAAACGTAAAAAAAGCATTACATAAGCATATTGCATAACGCCTCATATATAGAAGCGTGATTTGCTCAAAAGATGCAAAATTATTCGCTGTGTCATGTGCAAAGGCAAGCCAATAATAGGTATAATTTATAAACACGGAGGGAAATGATGAAATCACGACAGGTGTTAACGTATCTATCAAAACGAATCTGAGATTTCGCTAGAGATTAATTTCGTATCGCTTTAGCAAACCGCGGTTACCATTGCCTAATGCTTAATAGGAATTAAGATTTGGTAGTATAAAAAATGTATCATAATAAATTACACAAAAGATTTGCACTGGTGGGCCGGGAGTATAGAAATAGTTTATTTTGGGTCAAGCGTAAAAAATTTTTTAAACCTTAAATAAGGCAAATTTATTATTTTTTCTTCATAAATAATTATTACAGACTAGGGAACTTTCACTGAACTTTTTTTTACAAGATAGGATTAAAAATTATCATTTTTTGATGGGCCGGTTGGGGCCGATTTTTAAATTATATACCAGATAAGGGGAAAAAAATGGTTTACTAAGCATTTAATAATAATTAACCGATCGATTTCAAAAAAAATTGTCATCTGTCCTAAGTAGGTTTTAAAGAGAGTTGAGCATTTAATAATATCTCTATCTAATTGTGCAAACTATGAATTTATTCTTGACATACCTAATTTTCCTGATCTCCATAATATTAATCAAATCATCTGTTAGATTTAGGCTCTGTAAGTCTTCCTCTATAAAATCTGGTATTAAAAAATCTTTTTTAAAGTCCTCTTCTATGTTTACCCTAATAAATATTAATAGCATCTTAAACAATTTTTCAATTTAAATTTAGCTACTACCCTTGAAGCCTATTAATTTTTACAATTTAATTGAGAGGATTAGTGCTAAGCGATAAATAGATAATACCAAATTAAAAGAGATATCTACTATATCAAATGCTTTGACAATAGATATTACTAACGAATAGGGCTGTGCCAATATATATTAAAATGGCCTGGTAATAAATGGGTATATCACAAAATTGACATCATATTGAGAGCTAATTTTTCATGCATGAACATCTTGGAATATAGATATAACATTAAAATTAGTGATAAAAAAAATTATTTAAAGAGGCGTCAGAATGGGCGGATCAAAAATTCGTTCTGGGTTGGAGTTAAAATTCATATAAAAACATGAGGACTCTTCCTTAATAATATTTTTGTTTCATAAATTATTTCAAAGCTGGTTATTAACATACCTAGATTGTTTACGCATTAAAAATTCACTGCCTATCTTATGGCAATTCCAAGATATACAAATTTATAACCATTTCATCTTAATATCGACAAAGATATCGGCACAGCCATACTAACAAATCTATTTAAGGAGATGGTTAGATATATGTTCAATTTTATTTAGTAAAAGCCAACGGACCAGCCTTAGAATGGAATAGGGTTTTCTGGGAACCATGGTCAGGATATATTTAAGTTTACCTTATTATTCAATTCATATAATTTATTCCCAAATTTTTGTGTTTATTTTATACTTTTCTAGAGTAGGGTAAGTTTAGTTTTTATTATTATTTTTTTCTTTTTTAGTTCATTTTTATTCGAAATATACTAATGAAAACGAAAATATTATTAAAAATTTTTTTTTACTTTAAATTTAAATATTTGTATTATTTATTATATCAAACATATTTTTAACATTAAATAATTATAAAATGATAAAACGAGAAATAAATTAGGTAAAAAGGAAAATATTTTTAAAAACAAAAAAAAATGTAAAAGGCCGGTTCCATGTCTACGGTCTATACCGATCTTTTTTTCTGAGGACGGTGGTTTGGTCTGTGTGCACTGCCCAGTCCGTACACTATATTTAATGCATGCATGATACAATAAGTAATATATTTTAATAAATAATCAGGGATCCAAACCGAAACGAATATCGGTTCGGATAAAAATAACGGTTCAAGATTCAGGTTAGTTTCGTAGGTTCAGTTCAAATCTCTAAAAAGTTTCATCACCTTTGTATACAAACAAAACATACATTTGAATTATGTTTTATTTGTTGTGATAATTTGATTTATTGAGTTCTAGAGGATGGTTTCTCTTCTAGTGATGCTCAAGATTTGCTTTATTGTACTCCTTCATAGTTGTGCCACAATCAGTAATATTACATTTTGATGTGTAATTATTATACTATATGTAAATAATTTATATATTGGATTAATTTATCTCTAGGTAGGCGAATAACAAATGGAAGGTGGGGGGAGGGAATTCCCCATAGTAAATTTGCCTGTTCTCGTATATCATTTTAAGCTAATAAAATTTTCCCTCGATCATACATACCCCCCCCCTCCCACCACACTCCCATCTCCCCAAAAAATGTATACAATATACCATTATAAGGAAGAATTTAAAAGAATAAGTAAAAATTGATAACTTTTTAAAATAACGATTATAATTCAAAATTTTTAGAAAAAAAGCATTTTAACAAAAAAAGTGAAAACCCAAAATTATTTTTATAAAAATCTACTATAGCCAAAGGCCTACAATAAGTGAGCTTAAAAATCTCCAACAAAATTTATGGGGAAAAGATTCACCTAATAGTACTCCACCCCCTCCCTCCCCCCGCCCCAGCAAAATCCTGGATACGCAGTGTCTAGGCATTATAAGCTTAAATATATTTTAAAAACTTTTAAAATGAATGGTATCCTTTAGCGGTTTAGATTCGGTTTCAATTCGATAAAAAATACCGGTTTATCGGTTAGGTTTGGATGGCTGTAAATAATTCCTCTTCTCTTGAACACTTTGGTATTTAAAAATCTTATTTTTTTTAAATATTCATAACGTTTGTATGATTCATTAATTTATTGTATACATGATTCGTTTTTTTGTCTCCTCAGGGATAAATTAAAATTAAAGGATATTTATAATTAAAAAAATGGAAACATATTTTGAAGGAACTAACCAGTAACCACCTTTTATGATGTGAAGAAAGTGTAGAAGTCCCAATCCATTTAAATATTAAAAAATTTTTAAATATAAATAATGTTGCAACAGTGCAGAACGTAGTGATTATACACAATTTTTTTATTGTAATATATATAAAAATTGATTATAGATTATTTAATGCCCGAATAATCATATAAAATCCGGCGAATATTATAATAATATATTTAATTCGACTAAAATAATAATTTTTGATATAAATAATGTTTATTCATGATTTATAATATCTATAAAGAATAATCTAATATCCATTATGATTTACATATATTTTTTAAAAAAAATTAACTATTTTTTTGGAATTTTGTCGGGTGTTGTACTAGCTATTATGACAACTTCGCACGATTTTGGGAGCACTTCTTTCAACTTTTCCTTGATGGCCTTATTATCGATCAGTGGCAAATTTTTAAGTTCCAATTTCTTTAGAAGTTTTAAGGGCGGTAAATTATTTAAAAGACCCCACTCTGAAATTTCGTAGCAATTGTCTATGATCAATGTCTCCAAAGTGTTCGCCGAATATTTTGATATCTTCGTGAGACAAGCATCGGTAACGTACGGAGAATAACGCAAGCTTATACTATTTAAACTTTGTAAACCATCGAGATATCCGAATCCCATTTCATTTACACATGATTCGTTTGTGTCAATGGCTTCAATACGACGGCCGACTGCAAAAATAAATTTAACATTAAACTTAAGCTGCATTTATAATAAACGCGTCATCTTCAAGTGTTGCATTATTTAACGCAGTGTTATTAACAGCTGATTCAGTTTTAAAAAACTAATTTTAGCTAAAGCTAAAATAGAGATAATTATTTTATATATTATCAAGAAAAATTATATATATTTTAAATGAATTCGCTATTATTTTTTATAATCGTATCGCATTTTTTTTATCAATGCACCGCAATATATGTTTTTTATTTTATACATATCATTATCAACTTAACTCATCATATTTATATATTTATACCTATTTATTGGCTTAATTTGTAATAACGCAACGCTTCAACATAACGCGTTTACTATAAATGAGGCCTATGACGAAATAATTTTGGTGATAATAAATTGAAGGGTTTTAAAATGTTGTGTCGTTCACATATTGATAAAACCAATTATTTTGAGTTAAAATATTTAGCCTTTTTTCTTTCTTATACACAAAGCTTTGATCAATATGCAAAGTAGTCTAATTTTTAAAAATATATCTATTTTTAAATAATAAATATAAACACAATCTATTACCAGCCAAAGCAAACAATTATTTGAAAAGTAGTGCAATGAATAAGTTTCAAAATTAAGTTTTGCCAAATATTTTGTTTATATATAATATATAAAAATTATAGTTAAGGTAATTAACAAAAAAAATAATATCATTATAGAGCTTTAATGCTTATATTTTTTGATATTCACCCCAGGCGTGTATGCAGGAATTTGGTCTGGGGGGGGGGGGATAATAAAATATTGTTTTTTAAAAATATCAAGCATAAATTTATTAGGACTAATAACTATTTCTAATACACAATTTTAAATTAATGTGAATTATAAAAAAATTATATGTAAAGAATCACTTAAATGACCCAAAATAGAAATTTGAATTTTTTGAGCTTTAAAATTTATATATAAAGTATAAAAAATTTAAATGTTAGAAATATAAATTAATACACAAAAAGCTTAGGGAATAATTGTATTTTGTATGTTATATATTTACAATGTAAAATCCAATCTTCGTTGGGATTGAGCTAATTTTTCAATTATCTCATCCTTGCTTGTTGTCAAATGCCTATAAATATTCAAAAGATCCAAACCTTTCAATCTACTTTCAAAAGTTGTACTTCTTGGTTTTCAGAGACCTGCAGTGGCCGGGCCTGAAATTTAAAAAAAAACACCCAAGCTGAGCCTGATTTTTTTAAAAAAAAAACATCTAGGCCAGACTGTATATTTTAAAACAGCCTATATTTGAAATCGTTATTATTAGCAAAATCAAAAATAAATATAATTTATTTTAAAAAAATCCGGGTCGGGCCTGAAAATTTTATTTTAAAAAAGGCCAGGCCAGGCCTGAAAATTGAGCTTAGTTGTAAAAATCTTTAAAAAAATCCGGGCCGTGCCCCTGTTATTCTCCTTAAAAAAGAGAATGTTCTCTCATTAGTTTACTATTGGGAAGAGTTGCTAATATATATAAACCCTTTTAATACATTGGGATTAGAATCTAAAATGTGTTTGAAATAATGCAGAGCATCCATAGAATTTTTTGGGAATGTATCAACCACAGTTAATCTTATAAACATAGTTATTCAGCTAATAAGGCATCATAAGATACTTTAACATCTTCATGATAAAAATCCAACAAATATTTTTTTTTCTATCACCATCTGAAAAAGGTTGGGAAGGCTTTTATGGAAATAATATTTGCAGATTGGTAAGTGCTGCATAATGAATTAAAAACCATTCATTTATTTGGTTTATAAATTTATTTGCATCTAAGAATACTCTTCTACTGATCTATATTAATGTTTTAACTATGAGCTTGCCTTGCTGCAAGTCGAGTGAGACAAATATTAAACACGTATAGCTCTGCTTTTGACTTAACAATAACATATAAAATATGAAATTCTTCATAAACATTCGCCCTAATTTCCTTGAATTTTAATAAAATGCTCTCCGCTATTCTCATCTTAATCAAGTCATCATGTTTTTGAAAAGTAATACATAAAATAGTTGTACATTCTAATGAGAAAAAAAATTTGGAATAAGCATTAAATCCAATAATTTTCTTGCTTCTAAGGAAAAATTTCTTTCAGGCCATTGTGATATGTCAGTAATAGCAAATAATCGGCTCTTCTAACTCCATAGCTGTTACTGCTTGATGGCAGAGACTCTATCTCATAGGACAAGGTTGCAATTTCTTTCTCCCTGTTGGACAAGAAGTTTCAGAAATAATTGTTATTTGACTAGAAATTGGAAATGGTAGATAAATATTATACCACTAAAAATTTGAAAATAATAAGATAATATTACGCCAGAAAACTTGAAAACAAAATTAAATGATAAACTTAGTGATGAATGTGGTAATAAATGTAATTAAATATATACTTAATATGAGATAGGAAATAATATTAACATATATAAATTAATATAGTACTGTGTAAATTTAATTCAAAACATTTCCATATTTTTTAATTCATTTGTAAATAAAAGTTTTAACTTGTAAAAATTGATTTTGACTTGTAAAAAGTTGTTAAAATATTTACAAACAAATTAAAAAAATATGGAAATGTTTTAAATTAAATCTTTCCATATTTTTTAATTCATTTGTAAATAAAAATTTTAACTTGTAAAAATTGATTTTGAAACGAATTAAAAAATATGGAAATGTTTTAAATTAAATCTACACAACACTCTAAACAAAAATATTTTTGAAAAATATATCCAGCATCTGCATTTTTTGGCTTTGGGGGGGAGGTGGGATTTGTCCCCCCTTCACTGCATACACCAATGATTTATCCCTATTATTAAAATTTTGATTCTAAAATAAATTTAGTAAATTAATCCATTTTGACCTGGAAAAATTTAATTTTATTTTATTTCCTACTTGTTGACTACTCCTTTTTTTTACATATATAAATAACAATTTTCCAAAGAATCAACCTTTAATAGGTAAAGTGAAAAATGATGATAGTAAATGGGTGGGGATAGAGAACTTATTTTCAAAAATTGTATTGCAAAAAAAAATTATAAGTGTTAAAATATGAATTTTTTGTTGCCAAAAAAATGTTTATAACTTAAAACTGATTCTAGTGAAAAAAAGGCCTATGATAATTTTTTTTATAATAACAATTGAAAATTTTTAGGATTTTCTTTACCATTCAATGGTTAGTTAAAAAAAGATGCACTTTATTTATTTACACCTTAATTAATAAAAAATTTAAAAAGAAATTAATTTGGACAAAAATGGATTAACAACTTTTCCAAAATAAAGTTCTAAATATTGATAATAATATTTAATGTAATAATTTAAGATACCATCTTTTGAATTTTCAGAAACAATTGAATTGTAATCAGAATCCCATGCAGATTGGTTTTTAAATTTTAATGATGCCCCACATCTAAGTAGCCATTCAGCAGCAGCTTGATCTGGACCAACTTCTTTTACCCTCTTTTTATCATATCTATTCCATACCACATTTAACCATGCCCAAAAGCACCGTTTTTGGGAAAGTTGGTTATGTGTTGTAAGTAGGACTAATTTATATGGGTAATTGTAGGATATATATCTTTTGTTAATAGATAATAATTTTATTTGATAATATTTAAATTTTAGAGGATGATTTTTATTCCAAAATATATTCAGAAATGGACGTCGCAAAACATTCATCTGAAGCAAATATCAGCTGAAAATGAAAAAAAAACTTTAGGCCTTTGTTAGAATGCAAAATATCGTTAGACTTTTTGCAATTTAAATTCATAATTCATACTCTCATGATTGGGTTTCTATTGTTTCTTTATATTATTCACAATTTACCAAAATGATAATTATGACCAATATTATTTTGAAGGTTGCTTTATTAACATTATAAGCCGATTAGATCGATATCATTGTCTATTTTTCGGGAATATATTTTCGTAACCTGATCATATTACATTTTATTGTCCTTTGAAACATGGAATATGATTATTTTTTTGGAGAAGATAAAATGTAAAACATTTGATAGAACTCAATTTATTTAATATTATCAGGGGAATGACTATAACATCTGGGTGTGTGACATTAAGAAAAGACAATAATAATCTTATTGGCATCAGCATTGGGGGTGGGGCTCCTCATTGTCCATGCTTATACATTGTACAAGTAAAATAAATTATTTAATGTTTTTCATTACCTTTGATTTTTTATAAATTTAAATAAATATGAATTATTTATACCCTTATTTATCATCTGAATATTTCATCAATCATGTAAAATATGTATATATATACACATACACTTTAAAAAAATATTTATTTACTCTGGCTTTTATCATCTTGTATACTTAATTTCTTTATTAAGATAATTTTTTTACTTTTTAACTAACACAAATATATTGATTTATTTATAATTTGAAACCTAAGATATTTGACAATACAACTGCATCATTTAATGGATCATTAGCCTCTGGTGATGAAGTTACAGCAGTTAATAAACAATGTGTCAAAGGTATGTCTAAGATAGATGTTGCAAAATTAATTCAATCTGTATCGGTATGATATTATATGTATATATAATAATTTTTATAATATATAAAATCTGATTCATATGCAGGCTGTGGAAGTAAAAGTTTTTCCCTCAGCATGAGGGGAAGCTCAGTGTAAATTTCCCATTAAAATCAATATTTATATTGTCTTCCTAATCTCCCCTTTATGAAATTCATAAAAATCTTATTTATTAGTATATATTTCAGAATTTAATTATATATGGTTGATTACCCACAAAATTATCCATTAATAAAAAGAGTATTAACTACACAAAAGAAAGAAGTTAAATTTCCTTAATGATAAAATAAGATATATAAGTAGCAGAGAAATAAATAAGTTGTTAATATTTTTATTGTTACATTTTTAAAGTTTAATAAAAATTAGCAAATTTATATATTTAAAATCCCCATCAAATTTTCAGGTTAATGATTAAAACAAATTTTTGTTGTTTATATTCAGTAATGCTTATCTTATTCTACTTATGATTTTAATATATAATGTAATATAACTATACTATTAGTATAAAAATATATATAGTTTTATAATTAATAAAAATTATTCAATTTGAAGTTATTACACTTATTTAAAATTTAAAATGAGCAAGATTTATAGTTAATTAAGAATACAATTGATGTTTGAATTTTTATGAATTGCCCCTTCAAATAAGTAATAAATATTTATGTTAAATATTTTTTTAAAAAATGATTTTAGGAAGAAGTAACAATCCATTATAATAAATTGCATGCTGATCCAAAACAAGGAAAAACTCTAGATATAAGTTATGAAACCTTAATATTAATTATATCCCTCAATATATATATATGATTATCATTTAAACTATTATTATTACAAATTATGTTGATAACAGTAATATTAGTCTCAATTTCCCAATGATCATTTTTATTCATAAATTTTTTATAAATACCTACCACCATTCACAGCTAAATTTAAGCCTACTAAATCAAAACTTAAAGAATAATTTATAGCAAATTTTTTAAAACAAGTTTATTTCAGAGATCCTGCCATTGCCATTGGTTTAGGTTCATATAAAAATAACCATTTAGGTTGAAGGTTCCATTTGTAATAAATTATAATAAGGAGTTGGTTTAAAACATTAAAAACCGTTTCAAAACTTTATCACATACTAATTTAATAGTATATCAAGAAGTTAGAGGTCTTCAAAACCCGATCTAACCTATCAGATTGGGTTATTGTCATTAATTTTTATATTAATTTCATATTCCGGACCCTACCCGACCAGAAGAAAATCGCATTATAAATAAAATTTTATTTATTTTAATATCATCTTAAAATTGTTTTCTATTTTAAATCAACATCTTAAATTCGTTTCTTTACTTTATTACTACTATTACTATACTACATTCAATTTAATAATAAGATAAATTATTTGATTATAATTAAAATCATTAATTAACCGAACCCTAAACTCCCGTTATAATTGGTAACCGATAAATTTTAGCACCCAGATTATAACCGAGAACCTTTATTCATTACGGTTCGAGTTCTTAGTTATCATATTCATTTTAAATATTTTTGTTAAAATAAGGATTTAAAGAGATATTTTACCCTATTTCCTTTATCCATCTATTCACATTTTGTTTGTTTTTTTCATAGTGTTTTGTCCCATAAATTAAATTCATCTTAAAATTAATAACTTATAAATAAATGAAAAAAATTATTTTTTTAAATTAAGTTCTCAAAAAGGTGAAGCATCGAATTGTTGAAAAAATGAGTTCTTCAACCGCCGACGTCTTGGGCTTAAGTCGGGCCATCCTTTGCAATGGTTAGTATTTTTTTTTCTTTGTAAATTTTAAGAATATATATATATCAAAATTTTTACAGATTCATTAGTCAAGAAAATGGAAGAGTTGAATAGGAACGAAAAAATTTATCGTGGGATGATCATATTGACCAGAAAATTATTAAAAGCCATATTTTGTTGCTCTCAAAATTATAAAAGTTTTAAAATTATAAATATATATAGCAGCATTGCAAATAATGTTTATTACAGCTTTAGGCGAGATATTTTGTAAAATCGGAGTCAAAGAACCCCAAAAAGGGGCTTCACAAGCATTTACTCAATTCGGAAAGATACATAAAGAAATTGAAGCGTATGGCATGCAGATGCTGAAGAAAAGTAAACTGGTAATGCAAAAATATATGTAATATATTTCCAATAATAATATGGGTTATATCTAGGGTTTCCAGGTCAAAATTTTCAAATTGCGGGAGAAATTTGGTATTTTACGGGAGAAATATTGGCCCGCAAAGTGCCGGCCTTTGGCCTGGTTTGTAAAATGGCTTAGTTAGTCTCCCCTCCCCCTCCCTATTAATTCTTACAATTACTTTATATTAATATTAACAAAGTCTAACGTTTTATGATATTTTAAAAAAATAAGAATATTTTATATATAGTTTTAATTTCTACTTATTTATAGTAGATTTATTTTATTTATATATAAAGAAAATAATGCGTATGTATAAATAAGTTTCGATAAAATATAAAAGAAAATCCTAATAGTTTAGTTATAATATTAATTATAATTCGAGATTTAAATATTGTAATTAAACGTTAACATCGTTATTGAAATATTTATAAAATTGCTGGCACGTTATAGCTAGGGTTCTTAAACGGCCATATTTTAGTCTAATTTTAAAAACGGCTTAATCATTTTATCCAATAAAATTTTACGCGAGCCTAAGATTTTGGTTAGCGAAATCTCGAGATTTAGGCAATATTTTTCTGGCCAAAATATTGAGTTATCCCTTTTTAAAAATCGGCTCAAATCGAGCCTTTTAACAACACTGGTTACATTTAGTCAATTTTAAATTAAGATCTTATCGAAATCATATTAGGCAAGCTTCGAGATTTTATTATAAGATGTTCAAACCCTTTCTTCCATATATGAGCAAATTCTACAGGCTTGCTTAATACTTTTTTGGCGAAAATATTGCGTGATTCGTTTTTTAAAAATTTAGCCTTTTAAAAACATTATTTTAAAACTGATAATCTTTAACGAGAATCTTATATTTACTCATTTTTGATATTATTTTAGGTTCTGATAGATTTGGGAACCTTTTTAACCAAAGCGATACCTGATACCAAACTAACTATCAAAAAGTATGCTGATGCTAAGTTTGAATATTTGGTAATTATCTCATCTTTTATTTATTAATTATTATATTGATTAGAATGATATAAATCTGGTCGAGATTAAAAAATGATGATTATAATAATAATACTCTCTTTTATTAACAAAATGATAATTCGAATTTGTCCGAGATTAGGACAAAGAAATTGGTTTTATTTAACATTGAAAAATAATCGCTTTAATGTATGAAATTTCGGACTAATATAATTAACCTTGGGGGGGGGGGGGGTAGGTTATTAAATCAAAAATTGGGAATCTCGCTTTTATTTCCTATTAATATTTTTTTAATCAATATGGGAAATAATATTAATAGATTATAGGGAAGTTAAACATTGTATTTAGGTAAAAAAACCGCAAAAAATGGGGGAAATATCTTAAAGACTTTAAATTTGGGAATTTTAAGAAATATTGATGATATTTCCCCCATTTATAGCTATTTTTTGTTTAAAATTAATTTATAGGTGTCTACTTTCCTAGCATCCATTATAATTATTTTTATTATTGCTTTTTAATTTTTTTAGAAGATATAAACGAGATTCCCAATTTTTTGCGATTTAGAACGGGAGCCAAGATTTTAACTCCTCGTTTGGTATAAAATGAAGTTCAAAATTAAATCTTAAATTTTTTTTAAAAAAAATTTGTAAAAATTAATTTTAAATATGTTTTGATCAGTGTTTGTAAACCACCTGAAATTCCTTTTTTAAAATATATTTTAACCGAAAGCCATCTTGAAATTTTTGGAACAAGTTCTAATACCAGGTTCTTTTCTTCAACTATATATATTTCTACAAGATAAATAATATAATAATACAATTATAAATAAACAAAACAATTATATATTTATTATTATTTTTTCTTCTAATATTATTTTTTATTTCTCTTTTCTTCTACAATAATAATAAATAACAATTATCGATTTATTTTTTTTTGCTATAACTATATTTTTCTATCAATATTTCATTTACTATAATTTCCTACAATTCAATACTCAACCCGGTTATAACACATATAAATTTTAGAGTTCTTGGGATCCCCCCCCCAAATCATATAGATATTTATCTTACTAATTCTTTGAGGAAACAATCTAATTTGTGATGCAGTCTTTTAATTTCTCGTACTCCATTCTTTTTTGAAACCTCTTTTGATTTTAAGAAATATTTTTAAATTATCATCTATGGATGACAGTGTCTATTCCTCTGATCATTGTTTCCTCTGCCTCTAAAGTCTGGATTTATGTATCTTCCACCTGTTTTTATTTAAGAATATTGGCCCAAACTCATTAAATGAAATACAATCATTTGAATTCTAGTTGCGATTTTGATTTTTTTTAAGGTTCCGATCTCGGGTTATATTAAATTTATTCCACCCTTAAAATATAATAAACATTTTATCATTTTTAAAGTCGTATTGTCTTAAAGTCAAAGAAATGGATGATGAGGAGTACACATTTATGGCTTTAAATGAACCACTATATCGTATCGAGACTGGAAATTACGAATACAGGTTTATTAAGTTTTCAGCATGCCGATTAATAATGTCCAACGGAAATTCCCTTGGCTCATTTATTTAAATTTTTATTCGTCTAATTTCACAAGACCTGTCAGATTTGACAGGTTTATTAATAAAAAAGAGGATTGAATTTTATTAATAACTATTCCAAATTCTAATTTATATCTCTCTAGCCCTTAATCCTTCTCCTTACTCCAGATTGTTTAATGTAAATATATTTAATGCCAATCAAAAAATTCCCTTCAGTTTCTTGAGTTGAGCGATTATCCTGAATAATATATATTAATTAATATTTAAAAGGTTAATTTTAAGATGTCGACAAGAAGCCAGGATCAAATTTTCTAAATTGAGAGGCGATGTCATGGAAAAAATTGAGCTTTTAGATCAAAAATACTGTAAACATTTTAACCTTTTATAATAAATATTCTCTTCTTTTTTTAGTACAAGATTTAATTAATCATTTGAAAAAATTGATAATTGATATGGAAGAGTATCATTACAAGTGTTACAAACAGATGAAGAGTCTTTCAATATTTCCCATCGAGGTTAGAGATATCCTAATTTATTTTTTGATCTGTAAACCCACCTATCATATGATTTAGATTGATTTATCGAATTCTATGTTTTTGATACAAAGTAATAATACTGTGAACTCTAATGACCAAGACGAAGGTGATGATATTATAAATTTAAGTGATCATGATGAACTTATTACAAGTTTTATAAAATATTATATAGTAATAGTATATAACGAATACTTTTGTTTATAGATATTGATGATGTATCTCTGATGGCGTACGATGAAAGTCTCGTTAAAGACACTTATTTGTTATCTCTTGATTAATAAAAGAGAAGGATTTGTAGAATGGTGTGGAAATTTATGTGCAATTTTTTTTATTCTTTGTTTAAAAAAAAAGAGTTATTTATACCAAAAATATTTATTTATTCTTATTTTATGATATCATAAATAAACATTCCTATTTTTTCAATATAATTTTTTTAAAGATCTTATTGCTGTTTTTCACTAAGAAAGAAGTCGATATAAAATGGTGATGGCATTTAAACAAAATTTTTTTTGAAATATTTATATATATGTATTCTTTATATTAGAGGTGGGCATGGGCCATAAATATTCCTATGATCCAATCAGCCCCATGAGTCTGAATGAATTTTGAATCATGATTGGGCGTGATGGGGTAAAAAATACCAGACTTGATTGTGCGTGAATTCCGGGAAATTTAGTTTTTTAAATTGTAAGGCGTATCGTCTGCTGAGTATTATAATGTTCTTTCTTTCTTTCCTTTCTCTTCTCTTCTCTTCTCTTCTCCCACAACAAAAATGTTAAAATATAATTTAGGATGATCCTTTATTTGTAATATTGGTCCTGTAAATACTTTATAAGCCTTTTATATAGATTTAGAGTAACATTGGTTCTTTTTCTGGGATATAGTATTTTTTTGCACAAATTATTATTGAAATATTATAAAAAAAATCAGTTGTATGATAAAAATCGTTTGTCGTTTGGAAGTAAAAAAATTTGTGAAAAACGTGCTTCGGATAACGTTTTGAAAAAACGTTTTGTTTTTAAATATCCTAAAATACAAGATATATGGTTTTTAAATGTTCTACTGAACAATTTTAAAAGATGAATATAACAAAGCCTACGATATATTCTTTTAATTTAAATATTATAAATTATACATTTTCTAAAAAGAAATTAAGTTTAATAATTTTAGAAAAAGTATTATTTTTGAAACTTACATATATTTATTTACACATTTTATAAACAAAACATTTTTTCCTCGAGAATCTACTTTTGGTCACTAAGTTCAATGCCTGTTTTTTTTACAAATTCAAAAAATTTGAATTAATAGATTATAATTTTTCAAAAAATTAGCTAGTAAATTTTGCCAGCTCCATCCAATTCGACTTCCATTAATGATCATTTTCTAGAGCCAATACAATAATGGTTTACTATAAGAAATATTAATGCGATTTGAATTCTTAATGACTACGAAAATATATAGTATTATTTTGTTTGTTATTTGCATAGATAAAAAGACAGAATTATTATGTTCGATGAAAAAAAAACTTAAGGGTAAATTTTAAAAGGTGTTGAAATATTAATAAACCTTGTTTTGAAATGTTTAGAGAAAAAAACGAATTCTAATATGTCTATATTTTTTGGGCATGATAAAATTTTGTCTTTCGTGAATGGGCGGGTCGGGCTAAAAAATTGAGCATTGGGCGTAATTTTTTTTTAGTGCTAGTATGAATGGGCGGGTCCTAAATAAAAAATTAGTCTTACATTAATTTTCCACTCTTACTCTTTTCAATTAACCTATTCGTATTGGAGTTACTTGGGGGAGGACATGCTCTGGTTGTATAAAATGTACTAATTAAATTAAATTATTACATTTTTAGGGAAAAAATAAATAAATAGATATTTTGGGGAAATAACTGTAACTAGTTAGATCAAGGAACGAATGACGTTCCTTCTCAAAAAAATAACGCCATTTAGCACTATTATTTTGTGTAAATTATAAATGTTAAGGTAAACCGCAAATACTTGGGTAAAAATTTTAATATTCTCTATCGGAGTTATTTAAAGATAACTTTCAAGTGGATCTAAATTCAGATACATTATATATTTAGATAAAGATATACTTAGGCACATATACAATTTTACAAATGCATCTCATATATATAATTTTACAAATATATCTAGTTACAGATCCAAATTCTTTTAGGATTCTATTAAAATTCAAATTTCGAAGTTTTAATAATTCTTATACAAAATATGTAACTAAGTTATTAAAATAATTGTTAGCTTTTAATAATAAAACACTATTCTTACCATTAAGCCACCCCCGTATAGCTATGCATTTTTCCGCGTTAAGCTCTTTCTACAAGGGCACTTGGTAGCAGACTGATTGTTATATTAAATGATTAACAACTTTATATTGGTGTAATCTTGAAATATATTAAAATCCCGACACTTTAAAAAAGTTATTCAAAATCTGATGTATGCCAACTTATAAACCTAAAATACAATAAGAATGAATGTAGATGAATATTTTCATAATATTTATATAGACGTTGAATCGAAGGCTAAATTTTATGATATAACACTAATTAAACCTCGTCTAGCACCTGGGCAATTATTGAGATGTAAAATAAATATTGGCTCAACTAAAGAATATTATAAAATATCCACTTTCATCCCATTCTTAGATACTTTTTTATCGCAAATAAAAGTACGGTTTTTAGATTAAAAAAACAAGTCTTTAGCAATCTTCAAGTTTTAATACCCAAAGATCCATCTTGGTTTTCTAATGCCACTATTGGTAAAATGAAATATTTAGCAAAATTTTATTATGATATTGATACTGAAATAAATTTAATCAGTGAATTCGAATTGTGGTATAAATATTTACTACGTTTAGCTATTTTACCTGAGCATGCTATTGATGCGCTCAATCGGTGTAGAGAAACCTTGTCTCAAACTCCTAATAATTTGAAGTTGTTTTATATTCTTGCATGTTTGCCTATTATAACCAGTACGAATGTAAGAACTTTCCAACTTAAGAAGGTTGAAAACATATTTATGAAGTACTACTTCCGAATCTCGACTAAATGGGTTAGCTCTGTTAAATATCCACAAAGATTTGGTTCCAACGACAAACAAAATTCTTGATGAATTGGCAAGATTCACACGAAAATTAAAACACATTATAATTATAGTATTTAATAAAAAAATTTGTATAATACTTTATTTAATAAGAAGTTTAAAAAAACTTGTTTTTTAAATTATTTTCTAGTCAATATTTTATAGCTTTGTTAAACGCCTCGTTTTGAGCCGATTATTAAAAACGGCTAACTCAGTTATTTATCCAGAAAAATATTATGCAAGCCTGAAAATTTTGCTCATAGAAGAAGCAAAGGTCGAGACATATAGTATCGAAATTTCGAGGCTTAGTTAATATTTTATTTAAAAATCGGCTCAAAACGAGCCGTTTAACAACATTAATATTTTATACACACTACTATTAGTATTTTCAATAAAAAAATTATATTATACTTATATTGTATGAGAATTTAAGCTAAGGCTAGCTTTAAAGCAAATTTTATAAAAAAAATGACATTAAAATTTATTTCAACTTTACATTTAAAAAACTTTATTAAATATAATATACCTAACTAAAAATAATAAAAAATAGGCTTGTTATATCCATTAGCACGAATTAGTAAATAATAGTTACAAATATAAATTTAAATATTATTAAATTATGAATAATTTAATGGAATAGCTAAAACATAAGACAAGGCCGAAGGCCGGAGAAAAGCTGGCCGAAGGCCAGATAAAAGGGGTTTGGGGGCGAAGCCCCCAAAAAAATCCCCCCCCCTTCCCCCATAAGAAAATCCTGGATACGCCACTGCTATCATCTCATCTACATTTTTTGATAATTTATCAATTGTATGAGCAGTTTGTAAAAGATATTTTATAAGAAAATTCTGATATGATGATTATAGGATCTGATGATTTTGACATATATATATATATTACTGACTAACTTATTGATTGCCATATTGGGTTGGCTGGCTATGCTATAAATATTATAATAATATTTAATTTATTAAACAGATATTCAACCTATTGGTATAATAGATATTTCTGAATCAGAAAGCATTGGAGAACAAAGCCAATATTCATCATCCTCCTCAAATTCTATACAGTCAGGCTCGGGAGGACGGAAAAATGCAGATATTTGGAAACATTATATTTACCAAGCATCAACATAAACTGCAAGATGTAAGATTTGTCGGGTTGAAATTAAGTGTAAAAAAAACTACTCCAGCTTTGATTAATCAATACAAACGATTCCATCAAAAAACTTATAATAATAAATTTATTGAATCATATTTTGATAATGATATAAATAAAAATCATATGCACAACATTAATGATATCAAACACCATTTATTAAAATTTTTGATCAAATCTAATATCCCATTTAAAATTCTTGCAACATATGAATTTAAAGGTTTTGTTAAAACATTAAATCCTAGCATTAAAATATGTTCAATTCCTACATTAAAACAATACATTAATGAATCTTTTGACAATGAATTCCAAAAAAAATTGATAATGAACAAATCTAATACACAAATAAATTTTACAATAGATATTTGGTCAAGTCCAACAAATGTCCCATTCTTGGGATTAACCTGCCATTACATTGATGGTGAATGGGTACTAAAATCTATATTATTAGACATTGTTCCTTTTACAATTTCCCATTCTGGGGAAAACATATATAAGACATTTTATAGAATCATTAACAATTATAGCATAGATATAAAGTCAACGGCTATTACATGCGACAATGCCGCATCAAACACTACCTTTATAAATACCCTTAAAATTAAAAATCCATTATCAAAAATTGCACATATTCGCTGTTTTGCACATGTTTTAAATCTTGTTGTTCAAGAAATAATAAAACAAATTGATGAGCAGTTAATAAAATTAAGAGGCACTATAAAAAGCATTCGAAATTCTTATAAGAAAACTACTATGATGAAAGAATTTTGTAATTCACAAATTCCATCTATTACATATTTAAAATTATATACACCTATCAGATGGAACGGCTCATATTCTATGATAGAACGAGCAATACAAATGAGAAAAGTTATAGATCATGTCGTTATTAATAGTTATGGTTTATCTATTATTCAAGAGAAACAACTTAGTGAAGTATTTATTTATATTTAAATCTAATTTTTATTTTTTAATATAGGATGAATGGACCGCCTTAGTAAGAATGCATTTAAACTTAAAAACATTTCATGATTTTACTGTTGCCATATCAGGAGAAACATATCCTACACTTAATCTGGTCATCCCCTTTTATATATCATTAA